CTGTTAGATCAGGCAACGTTTGGAAATCAAGTTCATGTGCCATGGAAATCCTGTTCAAGGGGTCTTGTTCCTATGGAGTTTTTTAGCCTTTTGGATTGTCTTTGCATCGTGTTGATTCCTGCCTGGATAAATGCTATTTGAGATTGCTTTTATATCTGGTGTGGACATTGCTTTGAGTTACTACCTTTTATGGACTTATTACTTTTTGGAACTTTCTTATTTTCTTACAAGCATTTATTTCTTCTGGGTATTTACTAAGCTTCAATAAAAGAAGATGTGTTTCTTTACTCTTCGTGTGGTGTGTTTTAAAGTCAGAGGGTCAGGCTTATTACTTATTACTTCTTGGAACTTTCTTATTTTCTTACAAGCATTTATTTCTTCTGGATATTTACTAAGTTTCAATAAAAGAAGATTTGTTTCTTTCCTCTTCATGTGGTGAGTTTTAAAGTCAGAGGGCTTCTTCCTCACCTGGAGTGCAACAATTGTAAACACTTGAACGCAAGAATCAGATTCACCCAATCATATTTTCACATCTATCCTTTTGGTTTTCCTCGCTGGTTGCTCCGCATAGTGTCCGGAACACAATAACATCTCACCTCTGAAGCCAACTTCTTCATATAAGGGTCCAGTTCATGTAGGAGGCTGTAGCCTTGCTGGAAAAAGGTATATTGGGCGTGCATAAAGGACAGCATCTGCAAGGCAAGGAGGGAAAGCCTGAATACGCAACAAAAAATTGACACCAAATTTGGACACAAGACACCTCTCAGGCCAACGAGTAACCACCACTTATAAAAACACTGAAAAACACAGCAGAAGGGACTTAAAAAGCAAAAAAAACCCAAAACCATTACAACGCATGCACAAAACCACAGGAGGAAGGAAGGAGAGAAGGAGGGAAAGAAAGCGGGAAGGAGAGAAAGAAGCAAAGAAAGGTAGAGAAGGAAGGAGGGAGAGGAGAAGGGAAAGAAGGAGGGAAGGAGAGAAGGAAGGAAACAAAGAAGGGTAGAGAAGGAAGGCGAGAAGGAGGGAGAGAAAGAGGGAAAGAAAAAGGGAAAGAAGGAGGGAAGGAGAGAAAGAAGGAAAGAAAGAAAGGTAGAGAAGGAGGGAGAGAAAGAGGGAAGGAGAGAAGGAAGGAAAGAAAAATAGGTAGAGAAGGAAGGAAGGAGAGAAGGAGGGAAAGAAAGAGGGAAGGAGAGAAAGAAGCAAAGGAAAGTAGAGAAGGAAGGAGGGAGAGGAGAAGGGAAAGAAGGAGGGAAGGAGGTAAAGAAGGAAAAAAAGAAGGGTAGAGAAGGAAGGAAGGAGAGAAAGGGAGAGAAAGAGGGAAAGAAGGAGAGAAGGAAAGAAAGAAAGTTACGGAAGGAAGGAGAGAAGAAGGGAGAGAAAGAGGGAAAGAAGGAGAGAAAGAAGGAGGGAAGGAGAGAAA